TGCGTCACTGAACTATTATTACTGCTGAGTGCTTGCTAATTATGAGCCTGGATGTACTGTAGGAATGTTTTCTTTTAGATTTATATATCTCTTTATAGAAAACAATAATTAAGATTGAGTGATACATAATTAACAACTGATAGCAGTTTGATGTTGTATTTTGGAGTCAATAGTGAAACCAGCCTTGATCCAGACACTGAAGTTATTCACATACAGAACAATGTGCAGTTCCTGTTCACAGAGCACTTTGCCTCCACTTTGACAGGCAGGAGAAAAAAACAGAAGCAAAGGCATCTCAGTTCTATTATCTATGGAGTGCTGTGAAGCTGTGAATAGCTTCATTCAGCAACTAGTTCAAAAATAGAGAATGCTCTGTGAGCAGTCCACAGACAGTGGGAAGAGATTTTCAAGTAGCTGCGCTGTTTTGAACAGGCTGTTAGACTGAATAGGAGGAGAGGACAGAATGCAGCAGCACAATTATGTGATTCCAGTTGTTAGAATATCAAGGTCGGCTGGTGTACAAAGTCTGTTTTTTTCTGAACAGCCTTGCAGATCAAAGTCTGTGCATCAATTCTATGGTTAAGTTTTCACTTCAGAGTATATACACTTGTCAAAAAAATTAAGAGAACACTTAAATCACACATCAGATCTTGATGACTGAATTATTCAAGTTGAAAATATTTGCTTGTGCACAATGTATAATTTGTTGAGAACAAAATGATGTAACAATGGTCAAACCAAAATGATCAACCCACTGAGGGCTGGATTCAAAATCACACTGAAAGTCAAAGTAAAAAATTGAAATCACAGGCTGATCCAACTTGCATGAATTTTATCACAACAACTCATAATGTGAGCCAGTAGTGTGTATGGCCCTCGCGTGTCTGCACTCCCAACAATGTCTGGGCATGCTCCTGATGAGTCAGCGGATGGTGGGGTGGGGGAGGGCACCAAAGTCTACAATGATAAAAAATATGGGTCCCTCAAGAAAAAGGTTGGGAACCACTGTCATGAGGGATCTCCTCCCAGACCTGGATCAGGGCAGTGATCCCCTGGACAGTCTGTGGGGGTACTTGGCAGTGTCAGATGCAAAAAGGTCAAAGTTCAACTTCACTGTGACATCATAATGTTCTGCAAAAAATAATTTCTTGCCATTATTCAACATCATATCTCAGGAATAGAAGGGGACATTTAGTCAGATACTGATTTGGTGACATACATCTTGGGTGCCCACCTCGAAACTTTGCTGATTGTATAGATCTTCTGTGCTATTGGGGGGAAGATGTGTGTGAAGCATCTATGTTTTCATAGTAATGGATGTTAACTGTACAACAACACTGGTGGTAATTCCAGTTTTTGGACAATAAAAACATTCCATTAAAATGATTCAGGAGGTTTAAACCAAAAATTGTTTTTTTACATTCCTGTTGGTATGCATATTTTTAAACTTCAACTCTGTACTTAACACACCAACATGAGGCTGATAGCTATCTTTCATCTCAATCTGGGAAAAAAAGATAATTCCTTAAAATGTTAAGCTATTCCTATAACTGTGACCTTATGAATATAATGTGTTTTCAGTGCCAGATTCTGGTTTCAGAGAAAATGTTTGTTAATTAAGACACTTAATTGCATCTTATTATGGCAAACAATATCTTTTATTTACACTCACAAGCTCACAAGACCTCTATAAAAATATTTCTGTAACAAATATGTTTTTCTTTTACAGTCAAACATTTTGATGCACTGTAATTTGGACAATCACAAACCTAGCACATTTTACACCACAGAGTCCAGTGGGAAGCAACAAAACAGGTTCATACACCAGTTCAGGCCCAGAGAAATGTAAAGTTTATGAGTTCCCATTGTACCTTCCGCAGCTTTAAAGACTTAAAGGGATAGTTCAACATTTTGGCAAATTCCTCCACGCAGCCATACCCGTCTCGCAAATTCGCCTATTGCCGTAATCCCTATAGTCATATGAGTAGGTACATTACCTTTAATTGTCAGTGCATGCTGTTCTGAGATCGGTGGGACAGAGCTGCCCGCTGAAATGGAGGTGAACGGTACAGGTCCCTCTCTCCCTCAAAACTAATCAAATACACCATCAAATGACTCCAAAATGCTCTAGTGGACAACACATGGCTTGCGCATTCCCCACGCTATGAAATAATAATGTATAATTAAGTAACATTACGACACATGAAGCAAATACTCGGAACTACTAGAGAGAGAGAGTGGGGGGATGACATGCAGCAAAGGGTTGCAAGCCGGAATTGAACCTGCGACCGCTGCAGTGAGGCATCGCCTCTGTACATGGGGCGCTGGCACTATCCACCACGCTACCGCCGCCCTGGAACTACTTTCTTGAGTAAACCAATGGGCGGAGTGACACAGTGCGCAGCTGAGACTACCGTTGTTATTGCTTGTAGCCATTTGCGGTATCGTCAGCTGGACACACCAGAAGGTTTGAGGAAAGTTTACAAGTGTTTTTGTAAATCATGGTTTACACATGCATTGTAAAAGGTTGCAGTAACAAGCCAAAGACATGGAGCAAAGTGAAGTTTCATGTAGTTCCAACCAGAAATACGGACAGGATAAAACAATAGCTATTTGTGCTGGACATAGACCCCCACACGCCTGTGGAAACGGTCCGGAAAATGTTTGTTTACGCCAACTATTTTTTACCAGAGGACTAACGTTACAGTGAAAGGATGGAGTGCAGAAGCTCAGGAATGGTTCAAACGCTTTTCTTGAAAGATACTGTCATACCATCTGTCGGCATCACAAAACGAGCAGACGTGGTGAGTGATTGTTGTGTATTTTGCTCAGCAATCTCTCTGCTGTAACGTTACCTCCATGTTGAGTAACATTAGCCTACAACCGAAGCATGGTAAATAAGGCTAAAATGCAAATGTTGTTGTGGTTATGTTATGGATAAGTGCTTGCCCAGAGCATATAGTGAAGTGACTGGCATTACTTCTCATTGTTGGGAATAAACAGACTGCTAGGGAACATTTTATGTTGTTGTTCCCTCAGGAGTTGTGGTGATTTATGAGTGTGGAGTTAGCATGTTCTCCCCGTGTTCCGGTGATTATTTTGAGGC